ATGAGTTGTATGAGCCCCCAATAAGATTTTTTTTTTAATGCAGTGATTACATGTGTGTGTGTGCACTGTGTGAGCCAAGCTATAGGATAAAGTTCTAGGAGTGGATTGCCGGCCCCCATGTTACACCTTTCTGAGATAGCTACTGTGTGCCTGGCCCTGTGCTAAGCGCTAAATACAAGGGGGCTTTGGAAAATTCCTGGGGGGCGGGGAATCCATTATCTTTTCATTTCCTTTTTTCCATGAACTTTTGAAATCCTTTCACCTATTTGTGGTGGAGAAAAAAAAAAAATATATATATACACACACACACATATACACTCTTATAGGCACTGACCCTACATCATGACGATCTCAGGCTACCTGGTCTAAAGTATTTGTCTTCCTTCTTCCTTTTAGCAAACCATTGTTGAGCACCTCTGTCATGGAACAGAACAGCCAAAATCCCCAGTCTTACAGAGTTCATATCCCGGTGGTGGGTGGCAGATGACACACGACAAATATAATAAGTGAAGAAATTACACAGTGTGGGGGGACAAGTGTTAGGGGGTGAGAGAATAGGCAAGGGGGCTGGTAGTGGGGCGTCAAGAAAGACCTCCCCGGGAAGGTGACACGTGAGCAGAACGATGATGGATTGTCACCTAACAAGGGAAATCGTTCTTGCCAAAAGAATGTCGTCTGTTCACTCTAGTCTCTGACAGGAAAGGAGGCTCCGTGAGGCTGTTGCTGAGTGTTGGCCTGCTAGCCACAAGGTCTGTGGTTCGAACACACCAGCCGCGACACTGGAGGAAGACGAGGCTGTCTGCTCCGTGAGGATTTCCACCTGGGAAACCATACCAGATAGGGCTGCGGTGAGGGGGATGGACTTGATGGTGGTGGACTTGGTTTGGGGTTTTGGTTTGGTGGAGAACTAGATCCCTGGGTGGTGGAAACCAATTTGATCCTGGCTGCTCCCTGGAAGGCTGACAGGTCAACCCCGGGCAGCAGAGCCACAGCAGAAAAGCGTGATGGTCAGCTTTCCTAAAGATCCCCACCAGAAAGCCCGGGGGAATGCTTCCACTCCGGTGTGCAGCACAGGAGGGTCACCGTGAGCCCAAATCAATCAGACGGCCTGGGAGCTGAAGATAACATTGCTGAGCACTGCTTGCCCTGAAAGGCCCAGGGAAGCCTGGGGGTAGTGGGGGGGCCTCTGGAGAGACACAGACCTTGGTCAGCATTGGGCACTAAGGGGAGGAGTGGAGCGAGAGTAGGTCCCTGGAGGTTAACTGGGAGTGCCCGCTGGGCAGGGACTCCCCCTGCCTCTGGATCCCTGGGTTCTTCTACCTGGAGGAAGACAAGTCCCATCTAAAATCGGAGGTGCTTCTCCTTCTTTAGAAGCCACCTTCCTGAAGAAAAGAAGCCCTGGAGTAAGGCCTTGGGCTGCTAATCGCAAGGTCAGCAGTTCAAACCTGCCACCTCTACAGGGTTGCTGGCGGTCAGAATCGACTCCAGAGCAGTGGGGTTTGGGTTCCCCTAAATAAAACCTAGAGGCGGCACAGTGGTTATGAGTCAGACGCCACTCCATCACCAGCTCCCGTCTCGGAAACTCACCGGGGCAGCTCTACCCGGTCTATGGGGTTGCTCGCGGTGAATTTGGTTTGGGTTTGGAATAAACATTAACAGCCACCCGCTCCACCTCGTTGCCGTCCTCTCTCCAACCCCACATGGCCCTCTCCGGGTCTTTGCCGGGGGGCTGGAGGAGACGAGGAGTCACGGGGTGGCGTCAAGATCCAGCACTTGGCTGTTATCCAAAAAGCAGACCGTTGGCTCCCTCCCACCCAATGACCCCTCAGAAGAAAAGCTTGGTGACCTGCTTCCAAGGGTCAGGGTCCTAGACACCCTCCTCAGCTCCCTCACCGCATCGAGTCAATGACGAGTCGTGGGGACCCCTCTAGGATGGGGTTGAACTGCCCCTTTGGGTTTGAGAGACTGTAACTCTTTACGGGAGTAGAAAACCCCACCTCTCTCCCAAGGAGATGCAAGTGGCTTCGAGCGGCTGACCTTGCGGTTAGCAGCCCAACCGATGCATGACCACCAGGCCACCAAGGGAATGCTGCTTGAAACCTCGAGAGTCACCAGGGGTCAGAATCACCTGCAAGGGCAGCTGCTTCTTTTTGGCAGGAGCACCCTGGAGCAAGCCCCTCTGGCCCAGCCATCCGAGGTGTGTTTTAGGAGAGCAATCGGCTGTTCTTGCCCCCTGCCTCCCCCCGTTTCCCAGGTGTGCAACTGTCATATTAAATGTGTGTTCTCAAGTGGTGCCAACCTGGCTGGTGAATAACTATCATTTTGTCGGGAAAAATCCAGCTTTGCGCTAGCTCCTTCAAAAAGGAGAGGCGGCTAGCTCCCTCACAGCGGATGGGAGAGGGAGGTGGGCAGGCAGGCGAACAGACTGCCCCCCAACACACCTTACAAGACGAGGACCTGCGGGAGGGCGAGACAGAAAGTCCCTGGCAGAGCCTCTGCTGTGCTTGAAGCTGAATCAGGCTGCTCAGGGAAACCCAAGACGGTGCACCTGATATGATTATCCCTCCCATTAGACAATGCTTCACAGTTCCCAGGGCGCTTATGCATCTGATCCTCATTACAATCCAGTGAGGTATGCAGGGCAGCGGTATTGTTGGCCCTGACCCAGAGGTGAAAACTCAGGAACTCGGTGCCAGAGAAGAAAGCCAGAAACCACCTCTCCAGAGCCCCAGTCCCAAGCATGAAGCCGGGCTTTCTCTGTGCTGGCTGCTCTCTCCATTCACCTGGGAAACTTTACACACAATCCTGGGAGATTCGGATTCCACTGTCCTGGAATGAGAGACCAGGACTTTTTTCAAAGTGCCCAGGGGATTCCAAGCAGCAGACCCATGCTGCACGTGGGATCAGCACCCCAGAATCCCCACCTGATGCAGCTCACAAGACGTGCCCATTTTTTTTAACAGCCCCAGTCCTGGGATCCTCCGGATCCCCTAGCTTGGTGCCTGAGGGGCTGCCCATTTTCTCCCCCAAGTGCCAAAGGGAGTAATTAGCAATGCATAAATTATAACATGGAGTCCTCTGTCCCGTTACATATGTCCGGTTCCACCCATTTCGTACCTC